AGAGAGAGAGAGAGAGAGAGAGAGAGAGAGAGAGCACTCAAGACTAGCCTGACTACATTGTGAATTCCAAGTCAGGCCCATCTTGTCTAACAGAAGCCACATCACCTATGCTAATACACCCTATGTCTCCTTGGATACAAGGTACGCCCAAGCAGCCCTCTCCATTCAGAGTCTCAGAAACTGTGCCTGCTTTAGTTCTTGACTGCAGTGGCCATCATTCACTGTCAACTATGCTGTTCCTCTCATCATCTTAGGCAAGGAGCAAATTATACTGAAGTTCTTGCTCTTCTGGAAGGTACAGCTAGAGAGACCAGAATCTAATAAACAAATAGAAACCCAGAAAACACCAGAGAGTGAGTAGTGTAATATAGAAAACATGACAGACCTTGATGGTGCCATGATGTGGGATTCCCCTCTGTAGGCTGTGATTATCATTGATTAATAAAGAAACTGCTTTGGGCCTATAGCAGGACAGAATAGAGCTAGGTGGGGGTGGGGGAAACTAAACTGAATGCTGGGAGAAAGAAGGCAGAGTCAGGAGTAGCCATGGAGCCCCGCCAGAGACAGACACCAGATGGAACCTTGCCAGTTAAGCCACAGCCACGTGGAGATACACAGATTAATAGAAATGAGTTAAATTAAGATGTAAGAGCTAGTCAATAAGAAGCTGGAGCTAATAGGCCAAGAAGTGATTTAATTAATACAGTTTCTGCGGTTATTTTGGGAGTCTGGGCAGCTGGGAAACAAACAAGCAGCCTCCCCCAACAGTTCCGGGTCTGTTGCTGGCAATTTTCATCAAGTTGACAGAAACAAGTCACCTGGGAAGAACGCGCTGTGCACTACTTGAAGGACTGTCTCCATCAGCCTGCTCTTGGCTGTTTGTCGAGGGAGCATGTTCTTGATTGATGGTTGATTGATGTGAAAGGGCCCAGCTCTGTGTGGGCTGTGTTGCCCTTAGGCAGGTGGTCCTGAGTGGTATGAAAAAGTACAAGCTGTTGTGAGCAAGCCAGTAAGCGGCATTCTTCCATGGTCTCTGCTTCAGTTCCTGCCTCCGGGTTACTAGCTTGAGCCCTTGCCTTGACGTCCCTCAGTGATTGACTGTAACCTGTAAGCCAAATAAACACCTTCCCTGCCAAGCTGCTTTTAGTCAGTGCTGTACCACAGCCAAAGAGGAACGAACTAGGACCACTGTAAACCTCACTACTTGGGAGGTTGAGGCAGGAAGATGGCAAACTCAAGGTCTTTGTAGGCTACAGAGTGAGTTCAGGACCAGCCCAGGCAACTTAGCCTTTTTTCCCAAATGATAAATAAGGCTAGTGATGTAACTTAGTTGATAAAATGTTTATTGAGCATGCGTGAAGCCCTGGGTTTGATCTCTAGTACCACATAAGCCAGGCAAGGTGCCAAATGCATGCCATTGCAGCACTAGGGAGGTAGAAGCAGGAGGATCCGGAGTTCAAGACCAGCCTGGGCAATATGAGACTGTCTCAAAAATAAAATAAGAGATTAGTGAGATGGCTCAGTGGGTAAAGACTTGCCACCCAGTCTGCTGATCTGGGGTCAATCCCTGAAAGCCACAGAGTGGGAGGAGAAAATGGACTCCCAGTTGTCCTCCAGCTGGATCTCTTTACTCTTTCGCTCCCCACTGCCTGGGACTCCGTTGTCTCCTGGCTTTGACATCCATTGCCTGTGTGTCCAGCACTCTACCTATTAGAGCACAAGAAGGAGCCCTTGCCCTGGAATTCCAGATCCGAGTAGCTGCCCACTCGCTGCTTCCTCTGGAATACTGAGTCAGCTCAAACTTCACGTGTCCAGACTCAAACTCCCAATCCTCCCTGAAAACCGGCCCCACTTAGAACCTTTTCAGCAAATGGCACCTCCACTCTTTCAGTTACTCAAGCCTCAGGGACCGCTGGCCACCTGTCTTCCTGCCTAAACCACATCCACACCCACCTGCAGGTCCTGCCATCTCTACCTGCCCCTCCCTTAACAAAAAGCAACAACAAAAAACCCCCACCAAATTCCAATCGCTTCTCACCTCTCCCAATCCACTATTATCAATCACTTAGCTTCTCCCTGCTGCTTTGGAACTCTGTCCCCCTTGCCTCCCACTGTCTGTTCTTAACACAGCAGCCAAAGCAATCTTGTTAAAACCTGCCTTCCCATCCCGGCACTCTGCTGTCCTAACCTCACAACGGGGTACCACCTCACTGGGGGCAAATCTGAAGCCCTTCCAGTCAAGCCCTACGTGATCTGCCCTCCACGCATGCCCTGCCACCTCTCTGGTTTCAGTTCAGTATTCTAGCCTCTAACACCCTCCTCCAGCAGCCCCCTCACACACACACCCCCGTCTTCTCTAACCTGTGTTCTAGCCACACCGCTCTCTTTCCTAGTCCCCTCTATTTTTTGAGCTGGCTGTTCTTCTACCTGGGTGCCCCTCCCCCACCCGAGAGCCTCGCCCCAACAGGTGTCTGTTCAAACGCGAAGTCATCAGCGAGGCCTTCTTTGATCGTGCTGTTTGCGCCAGTCACCGCCCTTCACACTGCTTCCCGTCTCTGAAATTGTGTCTGATACTCTGTCCTGTTAGCTGTGCCCCCCTCCTGCCTCCCTCTAGAAGCTGAGCACGTAACAATGGGGATTTTCGGTTTTTTTGTTTTGTTTTGTTTTTTCCTGCTCTGTCCTCTCTGCCCAGAATAGTCAGGCATATAACAGGCACTCAGCAAATATTTATTGACCAAATGAACGGTATTTGGGTGAGACCTACAAGCTCTCAACAGGCAGCCTGGGCCTGGAAATGCTCTAGCTTCGACTGTGCGCTTGCTGCTTGCTGAGTCACGGGCTGTCCGTCTGGAGAGCAGAGAAGGTCCTTTGCTGCAGGAGCATTCTAGAATGTGTGGTGTTCGTGTTGCTGTGGGAGGAAAGAGTGTTCGTACCTTCCTTCCAGTCAAGACCTGGGTTGGGCCTTTGGTGGTTTTGGAAATGAAAAGCAGGTTTTGGAACTGGACTCGGTGTGACTCTGGGAAGCTCGGGTCCAGCCCTGTCTGCTGGGTAGAGGCCTGACCACTCAGCTGGGCTTTCCCTGTGGAGCTGTCCTTGTGAGGGTATCATGGGAGCGCACTAAAGACACAATGCTTGAGGGAACATGGAGCAGCTCAGGAGTTCAAGGCTAGGAGACTACAACAATGAGGCCGAAGCCAGCCCTGGTTACAGGAAACCCCGTTTAACAACAATGGACATGTGAAAAAAGAAGACTCAAGGCAGACTCTGTGAAGGGTGGGAACAGAGAGGTCTTCTGTGGAGCTAACCTGGCCTCACACAGCCCTCAGGCAGGATGGTTAAGCCTCCACACAGACCTCCACCATTCCTACAGCTGCCCCGGGGACAGAGTGGGCTGCCTTTTGGCTGAGCACAGACCAGTCCTCCTCCCTTTTCTGGGCCTTGCCACAGCGTCCTGCTTGTTTCCCCCCAAATAAATGGCTGAGCATATTGGGCTGGCAATAACCCCTTGAAATCAGTTGCTATCACAGTTAACAACCAGTTTGGCTTCAGTTCAGGCTGTTAACTATCAAACCACTAAGTGTGGTAATGATTGATTCTTGGCCAGTTGCAGCTTGAGTGGGCTGTAAAACCCCATTAGTGAGGGCTCTGTGGAGGCAGCAACTCAAAGATAAACAAATTGGTGGGTGCTCCAGCCTGGTTTCAGCCTACTGCTCTGTGCTCAGCTCCCATGGGTCCCTGGCCTGGGGAAAAGCTTCAGGCAGCCTCAGCGGATTCCCACCCTCCTGCCCTCCAGCCTCTCCCATCTCTGGGCAGGGCTGGCCCTCTAGGTGCTCACCTCTTCTACCTAGACACAAACACGGTTCGGTTCCCGCGGTACCTCCGAAGACTCAGGTGCTCCTAGGTCAGAGGCTTGAGGCTTAGCTTTGGCCTAGCCACCGACCACCCTTGGCCCAGCCAGGCCTCACTTTGTAGCCAGGATCACAGGCAGAGAGCCTGACATTCCATCACCCCCTAGACACCCTCCCACCCCATGTCTTTCCCCAGGAATTGCTCTCAAACAAATGAAATGTGGGTAATTACTGGGCTGGGGGCTGGACAGGCGACCGTGCAGATGAAAGCGTTTCCTGGACGCTCTCTTCATTTGCATGGCATCAGAAGCTGCTCAGAAGGTGTGACTTTTCCCACAGTGAGACCCCAGCTCCTCGCACAATAAAGCCAGGCTGCTCACCCAGAATTAATTAAAGGGGGAGGGGAGCAGAGGACGGGGCACCAGGAGCTCAGGGAGCTGGAAGAGCTAACTGGAGCCCCTTCCCTATACCCCCCACCCAGTGTCTATACACCCGAAGAACCATACTCCATCCAGAGGCCCTCACTCTTTCCGGCAGACCTTGGGATGAGGTCAAAGGAGATCGAGGACCCCAATTTTTGTTTCAGGCTTTCCACTGATCCTTGGCAATCCTGATCCATCTAGAAAGACTGAGCCTGGGTCTTGGGCTACAGGTCTGGAATGCCTCATGGTTAGGAAGCCTTTGGTTGCCCCAACCCATGCCAAGTGAGGTGCCAAAAAAAAGGCCTATAGGGAAGAAGTTTCTAGACTGTCCTAGTAGCTGGGCTGTAGGAACAGGCCAGGATGGAAGGCCTGAGTTGTGCAGAGTGGGCCAGCTCTGGGCACAGGAGTCCTGCTTCTGAGCCTCCTTCGGTATGGCATGACACTCATTCAAAAGCCTCCCTCCTGCCTAGCTCTTCTCCCTGAGGACCCAGGCCCCCAGGTCGGCTTCTTCCTGAACAACTGTGCGCTAGGCTTTTCAGCACCTGAGCCTGGCACCTTCTCTTCAGAGCTCTGGCCTGGATCACCCAAAGTTAACTTTGTTCCTTGTCACGATTACCAACACCAGGACCCGACACCCCCCCCACACACACACCCCAACACACCTTGGACATTGGGTGCTGTTCTAGTTCAGTTTTGGGGAGTCAGGTTCTATAGACTTTATCAGCTCTACAGTCTGTGAATACACAAAGGGGCTAGTCACCCCAACCACAGAGGGCTACAGCCTGTTCTTCATTTTGGCCCTGGTCTTGGAAAGAGTTAGCAGAGCAAGGGAGTCCCCATCTGAGAGCTCCAAGGACAACTGAGGATCTCCATCTTTCCCTCCCTGTTCTGTCTTTCCCCTCTAGGGGAGTAAAGGGGGAAAACTGGTAAACAGGAGGGGGGGGCCTTAGACCGAGGGGGGCCTTGGACCTGCCGTTGGGACAGCACCTGGGAAGGGGCTATCCCTGGCGGGACTCACTCTCCAACACACATTTCTAATATGCAAGTTAAATAAACAGTCATTTAATAGTAACTAGTACACAGCTATCCCCACTGACACCCACCCCTAAGGGACTGAGACCTAGGCCAAATCTTTTTGCTCCCTGCCCCTGCCTGGGGCACAGAGTGGCCCTGGCTGGTCTGGCCAGGTGCCCTGCCAGTGCTGAGACCTCAGGGGAGCGTCTGCCAAACTAGAGAGCCCTCCACCCACTCTAGGGAGGCCCACGGGAACCCAGTCTCAGGTCACCACGGGGCTTTCCTGAGAACTAAGAAGACAGACACCACAGCCAGTGGAATACAAAAATAGAGCCTCTCTTTTGTTAAAAAAAAAAACAAAAACAAAAACAAAAAACAAAAAACAAAAAACAAAAAAACCCAACAGCAAACAATATCCACAACTAGAAGGCTACTCCCCAGCTCCTCCCCTTCGCAGTGCCGACTGCGATCTCTCGCTGGAGTCCGCAGCGGGCCGCGCGGGGAGGGGCCGGGAGGGCGCCTATCGGGGCTCCGGGGCCCAAGTCCTCTGGCTGCCCCGCAGGCTGCGCGTGAAGGGCGGGTAGTTGAGGAACTCGAAGCGCAGACTCTGCTCGGTGGTGTGGTGGCCCCGCGGCAGCCGCTTCATGAAGTGCACCTCGCGCTGGTGCTGGCGCGTCTTGGAGCCCTTGCGGGGCCGGCCCTTGCGGGTAAAGGCCATGTACCAGCCCTCGTACTTGGCGTTCTGCAGCGCAGTGTAGTTGTTCTCCAGCACGATCTCGGTGAACACGCAATCCTTGCCTTTGCCGTTGCTCTGCAGGTAGTTGTGGGGGCAGACGTGATGTTACGAAGCCTCCCTCCATGTGAGACAGAGGGCCAGCGGCCCCAGACAGCAGGTGGGCACCCCAGCAGATGGCGAGGGGAGCCCGAGCCCAGCCCCACCCCCTACCCGGGCACCCGCTCTCTAATCCCTCACAACCCGCAGCCCACCCGGCAACTTCCTGTCCTCCTGGGCAGCAGTGACACATGGCTGTCTACGGAGGGGCTGGGCCCGAAGCTGAGGGGCCCAAAGCCTGCCTGTTCTGGCCTACTGCCCATCAGTCTGGCCTGGGCTGCCCGCGCGTTTCTCCACCTGCCCCCCTCAGCATCTCCGGACTCAGGATCAGCCCGCAGGACAGCAACTCTATGCGGGGGGAGGGTAAGCCTGGGAGGGGACTCTGAGGCCCAAACCCTGAAGCCGAGGAGCTGGGAGCTTGAGGCTGAAGAGGAGCCGTGACTAATGGGGCCATTTCAGAGCTAGGCCGAGGGGCTGGGCCTGCGGCTTACTGAACATTCCAAATGCTGGTACCATGTAATTGGACATAATAGCAAAGCAATTTGGCGATTTGTTAAAAAGATATATGGAATTTGCCATCACCACCCCCAATCCTTTTCCTGGCCTTCCTCCTTCATCTTCATAGGTTCTCCTCTCTTTGGCATCTTACTCTCTTACTTCTCCATCTAATCATTAGACAGACCCTAAGGGAACCAAGGTACCATGCATATGCACCACGCTGTTGAGATTAAAATGTACTAGAGAGGTTCAGTGGGTCCACACCACGTCCGCAAGCCCCACTTCCCTTCTGGAACCTCACCTTGGCAATGAGCTTCCCCTTCTTGTTCATGCAGATATAGAGTCCTGTCTCTGCTCCACGGACCCGAACTCTGCTCCCAAAAGTGTCAGTTTCCACAACGAGCTTTGCTGTCAGGGAAGTCGTGCAATGGTCACTGCATCTGTGACCTCTGTGTTCCACAGCTTTACCCCAGCCGGCTGGTCCGGGGCTGTGCCCTAACCCAGGAACAAATGCTCCAAGGGCTAGGGACAGAAAGCACAGGCTAGCCCCAGCCCACTTTGCTAAAGCACTGGGCAACTCATTTTTCAGAACCTGTGACTTCAGCGCTGGACCAGATCACAGTTTACAACCTGAGTTTCATAGAACTGTTTGGATGCATCCAATTGAAAAGCCCGAATCTCCATTCCTTTAGCCCTCTTTTCATGCTAGAAGCCAATATTATTACGTTGAGGTACCAAGTATGTAGATTCCATAGCTAACCCTGAGAGATCTCACAATATCATGAGCTCATTAAGAACATCTGGGAACTGTGGTGGCCCCCCACCAGGAGGCTAAGGTAAAAATCACCCCGTTCTGTTCCTGCTGCTTCAGTTCTAGCAGCCAGCCCTGGCCATCTTCCACCCGTTGGGCAGCCCTGCTCTTCAAGAAGTGACAGAGAGGGGCTGGAGAGATGGCTCAGCGTACTGCTCTTGTAGAGGACCAGAGTCCAGCTCTCAAGACCCACACAGCACAACCCACAACTGCCTGCAGCTCCTGCTCCGGGGAATCCAACATCCTCTTCTGACCTCTGTGGGCACCTGTGTGTGCGCATGCGCACGCACGCACGCACGCACATACATACATACATACATACATTCTCTCTCTCTCTCTCTCTCTCCTCTCTCTCTCTCTCGATTTAGAATGAGATGAGTCTCAGAAGAGGAGCAGGGCATTTCTCCCTCCTTCAACAGACTACTTTCTGGAACCAGACACAGAGGAGGATCCTGCCCCTTTACCTCGGCTTCCTAGTCATAGAGTCCAGCTCTAGCATGTAGACACCAACGACTCAATTATCTTTTCTCTTTTAGCCTCCACTACAGATGGGCTTCTTAGGCAAAGACCAAATGCTTTCAGGGGTGATAGAAGCCTGGGACTGAACTCTGTGCCCTTCTCTCTCTCCTTCCAGTGCACGTGGACAGTCAACTTGCCTGAGAGCCTGGGCCTGACCACTTCTTTATGTAATTGTTCTCTTAGAGACTGTTCCCAAGAAGAGAAGAGGGACGCTGAGTGAGACAGGACTAGACCTCCTTCCTAATACAGAGCCCAGTCCTTTTCCTCCTTGAGAAAGCAATTCTGTCTTGTTCTCTCTCTCTCTCTCTCTCTCTCTCTCTCTCTCTCTCTGTCTCTCTCTCACCAATACCAGGGGTGGGAGGCGCAGGGGTCATCAATGAAGTCCCCACACTGCCTAGCCTCTAACGCTTCCTCTCTTCACACAGGCACAAATGTGGGACCCAGAAGCCCCCATCTGTCCCCAGGTCAGCAGGGAAGTGCAACAGTTCACCTCTCCTCCTGCTCACCTCTCCTCAGACCCAGGCAATCTGTTCATTCTTCTCATGCCTACTTGGTAGAGCAAGAAGCAGATGTTTCCCTGTCCGGGAAGGATGTGGGCTAGGGAAGGGGTAAGAAAACCCTGCTCTGAAGATTCCAGCCCAGCATCATATGACAGAGTGGGTACCTCTGCCCTTTCTTGGGACCTCTCCACTGCTCTCCCTAGTCCCTCTGTTTTCAGAGCTCAGGACCCCAACTTCTGCCCTGTAGAAGGAACCCTGGAAGCCTCCCCTGAGTCTGAGGGAAATCAGTGGGCATCAGTTCCAACACTGCTAGCCATGTTTCCCCTTCCCACCCCAAAACCCAAGGATGCTAGGCCATTTGCTCCAGTAGAGTGGGCTCTGGAGGGGCCAGCCATGCTTTCCTTTTCCTTGTTGGGAAGCTGAGAAGGGCAGCAAGCAGCCAATTTGGAGGGACAAAGGGCCTGAAGGCCAGCTCTGCCAGCCCAGCGGGGGAGCTTGGCCACCAGGCAGGCTGCCCCCCACCCCCACCCAAAGAGCCCCAACTCTCCTCGGATCGATTTGGGGAGTCTGGCCATGCAGTTTACAGCGGCTTTCCCAGCCAGGCTTTTGGAAAGCTTAACATTTTCAAACCTATTCTTCCACCCCAGTGACAGATTTATCCCAGGAAAATTATGTCTCCTCCTCCAGCTTTGAAGGGAAGTCAGCTACGTCGATGTTGAAAAAATGCAGCGAGACATACTCGATCCCCCAAACTGGCTCGAGAAGAGGAGAAAGTATTCAGGAAATGTTAAAAAAGGTGAAAGCAAGAAGAGCTTTAATGGCTCTGCCAGACGCAGGGGTCTCTCCAGAGATTCCCAGAGAACAATCTTTAGCCTCTTTTTTTTTTTTTTTTTTTAACATTTACAGACTTGCAAGTCCTTTCAAACTCTACATCTGAAAAAGAAAAGGCCTGGTTCTTTTTCTGTTTTATATCATTCTTCATTTTTCTCCTTAGCTCTTAAAATGCCTCACCTTTTTATTACATTTTAATAGAGTCTTCCTTTCTCCTTTCATGCTGGGTTAAGTTGGTCATTATTTAAAGATTTTTAAACTCACAATAATCGCTTTCTAAAAACAACACCAGCCACCCGGAGGGTTTGCCTTCCTTGTGGTACCTCCAGGACCCTGGGAATTGGCCCCATCTCAGGACAGGAATATTGAATGTTTTAGAAATCAATCAGTCCTCAGGCCCCTGCCCCAGTAGCTCCCTGTGCTCAGCAGCCCTACGGGGAGCCGCCAGCCAACTCAGCCCCCTGGGGCATCCACAACTGGAGCCCGGGTCTAACTTCCAGGCCTAGCCTCCCTGTGCAATTGACCCTACTGATCAGTTTGCAGCATCCCCCTGTTCCAAGCTGGGCAAACTGGGGCTTTAGCTCGCTCCTTTCTCCTACTCGCCTTTTGTGGGCCCTGGCGACATATCCTCTTTCAAGAACTTCCCTTAAATATGGGCCCCCTACCCTGAACCCTCTGCCTCCACCTGCAGCTGAAAAGAGGTATATGAAGGGGGGAGGTTGTAAGGGAGACTCTCGGATTCGTTCATTTGTGGAGCAGGGAAGAGAGGGCACCTGTGGGCCACATCCTCCCCAGGGTCCTTTCCCTACCATTCTCTCCAGCTGACCCTCAAGGCACCTTTTTTGCCTTAACTCCTTCCCTTCTCAGCTGGGGAGCTCGCAGGCCTCTCTGGCCACTGCAGCTGGGGTTGGCGGGAAGTGGCGAGGTCCGCAACTACCTTTCCCTCCAGGGTCCGGGGAATGCGCCTTACCGAAGGGGTCTCCATCTTCTGCCATGGCGTTGATGCGCTTGTTGGCCAGGACCTGCACGTGCTTCCCGCTGGTGCGGCTGTAGAGCTGGTAGGTCCGGATGAGGCGGCGGCTGAGCTGATCCGTCACCAGGCTCTGCTCCCTCACATGCTGTGTAAAATTAGGTGAGGACTGAACAGTTACCTTTAGGAAATTGAAAAATACACAGCACGCCATTATAATGCTACTCCGCCCAGGGGTCCCGAGTGGCCCCCACTGCCCTTGTACCCACCTCCCGCCGCGCCAAGCAGCCAGCAGGGACTGGAGGCATCCCCCCAACATGCTGACTCAGGCCACCAACCCCCGCGGGGAAGTCGCGCAGACCCAGCCCAGGATGGATGAACCAGGGATGAGGGAGAATCTGGACCCACCTGTTGGGAAACACCCTGGGGCTCCCGGCCAGCTCGGAGCAGGGAAGCGGGCTCCCTGCCCAGCGCAGGCCCCCCGCCCGGGCCTTCCTAGAGGAGCAGGGTGCTTTTAAGTAGCGAGGCAACGCTACCCGACCCGTGACATTTATAAAGACAAATTTACGGAGCAAATGTTGAGAGTGCAAAGGGCCTAGACTAACACATCTTGGGCCGAAACCGGTCACAAGTCTCCCCAAGAGAGCAGCGGAGAGGATCTTTGCTGCAACTACAACCCAACTTCCCTTGACAAGGAACACACGCTGGCTTCAGCTCCCGCCTTCCTAGGAGGCCAGGTGTGGCTACAGGTAAAGTTCCCATCCACCCGACCTGGCTGGCACGCGTTTGAGACTCGCGGGACTCAAGACCCTGGGGCTCTAGTCTCTCCACTCACTCGCTGTGTGACTTTAGGCAGGACACTGTCTCTCTGTTCCTTAGATCCCTCCTCGGGATAGTTTGGGGCTGGATTTGTAAGGTTCTTTCCAGCCCTGCTGCGCTGGCCGAAGGGTCGGTCCTCGTGTCCCTGCCCGACAGTGTCAGCCGGGTCCCCCGCGCCCGGCCCCCGCCTCTGCGCAGCGCTCCTTACCTGGGCTTGGAGGCAGAGAACCAGCAAGTGCAACAGCCTGTTGGGAGACAAAAGCGGGCAGGAGAGAGGCGCGGGGTGAGCGGAGAGGGCGCGGCGGGCGCCGGCAGACCGGGACGCGGGGGCGACCTCGGTACTCACAGGCAGCTCAGCGCGGAGCGGGGGCTGCCC